ATTAGTTATAGATAATTTTTTTATACAATTTATATATTATGAAAATAATAGTTGAATTTATTTTATTTATATAAATCAGACATTTCAAATTTAAAGTTGTTTTGATACAGGTAACCATTTAAAAAAATAAACTATATTTTATACTATTTATTTAGGGATTTTAAAATATATATCTTTCAAAAATAACTAAATATATATAATTTTCTTAATAAAACCAAATATATCTAATTAATTTAAAGTTTTACATGTATAAATAAGCAATATATGCATAAAATAAGTGTTTGTTACAAAAATTTGTTTAAATTATATTAAGGTAAACTAGTAAATAACTCATAAAAAAAATTTAACCTTTCCCCTCGCTCCCCCTAACTTCAATTCCTGGCTCCGTCCCTGTCATTAAGGCAAGGGACTGGGACACAATTGCAGCTTGGGAACAGACAGGCTCAAACCATGGATAGTGTGGAAGGAAGTGCAAGGACCAGACCCAGAGATTTGCTGCAAAAGGCAGTGTGGGAATCCAATGACAGACAAAAAGAACTGTGGAGCCTACAACAGCAAGAGTAAAGCAAGTGCATCTATGGAATGTGCGTCTATGCATAGAAATTATACAGACTAAAGATGTTTATATGTATGACAGAAACTTAAATTTTTGTGGAGATGACTGCTAGTGGCTAGAAATTAGTATGGTGGATCTAGAATCATGCTTATTCATTTGTTTGTATGATTACATGTTAACTTGATATTTTATTAATAGAAATGTTCTTTTTAGTCTGGATTGGAAAAATAAAATGCCAATCCGGCCTGGAAATGTCTGAAATGGCACAACAACTTAAGTTTGCCCCCGTTTGGATCGCTGTGTGCATCTAAATATTTCCAGCCCAAACTGGCATTTTATTTTGCTAGTCTGAACTAAAAAACAACAAACTGTTCAATTACTAATATTTACCTACATAAACTATCCTATATAAGTAGTCACTAATTTCTAAGCATAAGAAAAACAAGACACAAGCTGAAATCATACTCGTAAAAACTAGTATGTGGGTCAAAATATCCATATGATTTAAGACTATATCACAAAGTCCAGATATTAAAAAGACATGTTTCCTACTGTGTGAAGAATGTCATATATAGCAGGCTACAGCCATTCAACGATATCTTCCTATATGAAACAGTGATGATTGTATCCGATCTCTGCTATGCCTCTTATCTTCCAACTCTACCTTCCTCGATAAGCAGTAATTATCTGCAGTGTTGCGTGATAGTAATCTACAGTTTGTATAGAGTCAGTGATGTGGTGTATCAGCAAAACTCTAGCCATCATTCTAGTAGCTAGAGCTTGCCAGATTTGATCTAGTGGGTCAGTTGACGGTTAAGAATAGAGTAAGAATTTGCAGATCATGAAGGTGTGTCTATTAATGTAGAAGCCTTAAAAGGGCCTACTACCCTCTCACTCAAAAGGCACATGGCACCTCCATGAGAGAACTTCCTTGCAAAGAAGACACAGGTAACAAACGTAAAATTAGCACAACACCATTCGGTCCTAAATTCACTGTCATAGTTCACACAGTTGATAGCCTGTTTAATAAAACAACCAAGAAAGTGAAATATACAAAACATGAACTGTTAAAGAACAAAAAGCCCCCCAGTGAAGGTCAAGTTTGAGAGATTACTGATGAGCTAAATTTATATACATATTAATAGGGAATTTTCACTTTGATTTTATTGATATTTGGATGAGTTTTATGAGATTTTGTTTGATTTTACATGATTTTCATTCTTTGTGTAGGAAATGATTTAATTGGAAGAAATCTTACTTTTTAGAAGTAAATTGAAGAGATCAGAGACTTGAGGATCAACTTGTGCAAAATCCAGAAGTCAAGAACCAGATCTGCCATTTTACCATTGAAGAAATTGCAAAAGGAGGCCAAAAACCCGACACGGGTGTAGTGTCGACACATTATCGGGGTGTCGACACCATGCGCTAAACGTCCAGAATCAGATTCTGTTTCCTATTTTGTGTCAACACGTAATTCGAAGTGTCAGCACCACGCGATCAGCATCTAAAATTCAGTTTCCTATTCCTATTCAAAGTCCTACTTCTATTTCAATTAGGGTTTCTAAAATCCTATAAATACCCATCTAAATTCAGAATGAAGAGCTTTGAGAGGCTGGTGGCAGCCCTCTTTGGGCACTCTTGGAGATCAAGATTGAGGTTCCATCAACAATAGAAGATCAAGGAGTTCGATTTCCTTAAATTGGGTTTTGTTTTTCCTTGGGTTTTTATTTATTGTTTGATATTTGAATGTTCATAACTTTGATTTCATATTTTATTCTTTTTATTATGAACTGATTTATTCTACTAGGGCTACGATGTAGCCTAATCAATTCAATATGGATTTTATGATTTTATATTTTCAATTAAAGTTATTCGCATGAGGAGTTTATATTATTGAACTTAATGCATTGGAAGCCTGATCATCTTTCAATTGATTTAGTGATTTATGCATGAACTTGAGAAAGAATTGCGTAGATTAGACCAATAATAATATAAACCGTGTGCTAGATTATGAGACCGAGAGGTAATTAGCTCACATGTGGTAGTGGAGGAAGAGAAGAGAGTTAG